ACCCACTTTGAGACTAATAATGGCTGGAGACGGCTTGAATGGGTAATGAAGAAAAACTTTAATATAACAGCAAATGTACAACGTTTCGACAAGGTTTTGTTATCTGATGATGACAAAAACTTGTCGAAACGTTGTACATTTGCTGTTATATTAAAGTTTTTCTTCATTACCCATTCAAGCCGTCTCCAGCCATTACTAGACACAATGTATTGACCAACAGATGTACTAATGAACTCTACTATTAAACACCATGGCTCAACAGATATCTATCGACCAACAGGTATATTAGTGTAAATCATCTGTTAGGCACAATGTATTGATCAATACTAATGAACTCTGCTATTAAACACCATGGCTCAATAGATATCTATTAGTGTACATCCACTAATGAACATCGTGTCTGGACGTTAGGTCTACTAGTGTTAGTTACAACAGTCTGTGTGATGTATTAATTTGTTTTTAGTTCAACAAGGTTTTTGACGTATTTAATAACTTTGTTTTTTGTTAATAAGCAAAATCTGTTATAGCTGAAGGTTTTAACATTAAGAAACTAAGTTTCTTTACTACATTCGCTTCAAGGTTTCAACCCACTTTTTTGTCAATATTTGTAACAAAAAATGACTTGTTTATGCAACCATGGCTTTGTGCCAGAGTGTACTACTTATTTTATTTTTTGTCGTTTCTTTTTTTAATTTTGCGGTTGAGTTCTAAAAAGAGAATGTCAAGTTTTGAAACATTTTTTATTTCCAGAGTGTACTACTTATTTTATTTTTTTGTCGTTTCTTTTTTTAATTTTGCGGTTGAGTTCTAAAAAGAGAATATCAAGTTTTGAAACATTTTTATTTCCAGAGTGTACTTCACAGACAATATGATATTTCTTTGAAATGTTTTAAAATTCAAATTGTTTGTTGTGATGCTCTTTCATTTGCTCAGTTTAACTCTTTCTTTTAGTAATTGAAAATAATCCCTTTTTTAGAGCATCAGTTCAAATTTTTTTAAAATATTTTCCAGCTCATATGAATGATATGTGTATTTTGCTCTATAAATTTTATTTTAAAAGTATTCCGTGTTTATGGTTCAGTGTAGAATATGCATATTTTAAATATATTCTACAAACAGACAGTGGCTCAGTTTCTATGATAGGTAAAAGCTTTTCTCTAAATATAAGCAATGTATCCACGAACATTGTTTATGTATCTGACTTCCCTTAGATTTTAAACGCTATCATTTTAAAGGTGTTAACAAAAACCATATAGTCATTATTGAAACATATTTTATGTACATATAGACCATTTGAATAGCCACCATTTTTAGAAATATCAAAAACATACAGTCATTATTAAAACATATTTTGTGTAAATAGAGACCATTTGAATAGCCATCGTTTTTAGAAATAGCACAAAATGAAACAAATATTTATAGAAACATAATATCACTTTGTGATAAATTTTTCATAAATGTTTGTTATATAGACAATGTCTTAATGTGACTCAGTGCTCTTCACATATCTGTTGCTACAAATATCGTTGGTGGCTAGGGCGTTCGACTCGCAATCTGCTGGTCGCGGGTTCGAATCCCCCGTCACACCAAACATGCTCGCCCTTTAAGCCATGTGGGCGTTATAATGTGACGGTCAATCCCACTATTCGTTAGTAACAGAGTAGCCCAAGAGTTGGCGTTGGGTGGTGATGATTAGCTGCCTTCCCTCTAGTCTTACACTGCTAAATTAGGGACGGCTAGCGCAGATAGCCCTCGTGTAGCTTTGCGCGAAATTCAAAAACAAACTAACAATCTTTAATCAGGTAATGTTGTAAAATTTGTTTTACAGTGTGTTTCGTTGTTCTTTAATCAACTAATGTTAAAATCTCGTTTTACAAGTTCTGCAGGATTTTTTATTTGGTTATATTGTTACAAATGCAAGATTATACTACATGTATCAATGTGTATATTTTCAAAGAATTAGAGTAGCAACTACGTAGAAAAAGTAGAGAACATATTTTAAAGATAAAAATATAGTAGTACCACCTATTCTCGGATAAGTTTTTCGTTTTAATTCGACGTTCTTTCTTCATATTTTATTAAATACACGTTCTTAATAGGTAATTTTATTGTGAATTCGAAACCTTAAACCAACGTTTGCGCATTGTGTCTTTAGTGTAAAGTAATGTGTTCTGTATTTAAAAGAAAAACATGAACAAGAAACAAACTTTTAGTTGACCTCATGTCTTATATTATATGTCATTATTTTGTTTTTGAAAGTTATGCTTACATGGGCAACTAGAAAACATAAGGCAAATCTGAAAATAGAAGAAAGTACTCAGATATAAAATAATATTTCATTTAAATGTTTTCTAAGGAAGCTGTTAACGATAATATCAAGACATAGTTTTTGTTATTCTTTTCGAGCACATTCAGAGAGAATATACTGTCTTACTTCATCAGTGTATGTAATTTCATTTGTAATTAATCATCGATCCAAGTTTAATTTCTTTTTTTAAAAATTGTAGATTTTTTGATAGTTCTCTGATGACCGAGTACTTTTGAACATGCTTTTATCTTCTATGTTTTACATACACTAATGTCGAAACATTAATAATATTCTTTTCTCATTTCATGTTGAAAAATGACGGAGTTCAAGTTGCATTATTACTGCTTGGGGTTGTTTTAAAATTCATGTAATTCTAAGTTAGTTGTCGGCGATAAAGTATGACTTGAGATTATAATAATTTGAGACACAGCAAATTTTATACTATTACTGCAGCGCCCTTTAGAATAAATCCAACTATAGTTAAGCAGCAGATATTTATTGATAATTATTAAACATTTCATGGAAAATGTGCTGTTCCGAGCTTTCAGATAAGACAGAGATTGGTTCCATTCCTTTATTTGGCTTGTGATGACTGATACAAAATGTAACAATTTGTAACCTTATTAAAGGTCGAAAGTATGAAGAACTTATGAAAACAAAGACATATACTAAGTTGAAGAATTATTTATTGAATAAAATCAAAGCCAAAGCAATATTTCTAACGCCCCAAAAAAATCCACTTCAAATAGCTGCTTATAAAAGTCATATATAAAACATTTGTTGAAGTAAATTACAACATTATTACTAAGTTGTAAAATGTTATTACAATGTAAAATGCTACAGATAAAATATGTAACGCAAAATATAATAATTTCAATATTAAAAGCAAGCATTTATCAGTACTGATATGAATGGTTTGATTTCCGAAGCAGCTGGACGTTCTTCTCTTTTCAATCAATGCATGCCTTACGGAGCACAAACTCATCTGTGTGTGTTATCCAAACGTTGAGTAAAATATGTACAAAGAGTATATAGAAACGTCAAGGTTTACTTTATCAGATCGTCGACACAGCTAAACTGAACACCATGAACAACAAGTTCTTTCTAAATGAAGTTTTCCATACCGTTGTTGCTTTCTCTAGAAATGTCAAAAACACAGTATTGCATTTTGTATAGCGTACATAGATTCATAGTGATTTATTTATCAAAGTGTTACTTAATTTTAAATCATTTTTATGACATACTTAGATTAGTTGCTTCACAAAGATCCATTTATCAAAGTGTTCGTTAATTCTAAATCATTTTTATAATACATTTAGATCAGTTACTTTACAAATATACATTTATCAAAGTGTTCATTAATTGTAAATCATTTTTATAATACATTTAGATTATTTGCTTCACAAAAATCCATTTATCAAAGTGTTCGTTAATTTTAACTTATTTTTGTAATACATTTAGATTAATTGCTTCACAAATATCCATTTATTAAAGTGTTCGTTAATTCTAAATAATTTTTATAACATACTTAGACCAGTTACTTCACAAATATCCATTTATCAAAGTGTTCGTTAATTTTAAATCATTTTTATAATACATTTAGATCAGTTACTTTACAAATATCCATTTATCAAAGTGTTAATTAATTCTAAATTATTTTTATAATATATTTAGATCAGTTAATTCACAAAGATCCATTTATCAAAGTGTTCATTAATTCTAAATCATTTTTATAATACATTTAGATTAATTGCTTCACAAATATCCATTTATCAAAGTGTTCGTTAATTCTAAATAATTTTTATGACATACTTAGATTAATTGCTTCACAAAGATTCATTTATCAAAGTGTTTGTAATTCTAAATCATTTTCGTAACATACTTAGATCAGTTACTTCACAAATATCCATTTATCAAAGTGTTCATTAATTCTAATTCATTTTTATAACATAATTAGATTATTTGCTTCACAAAGATCCATTTATCAAAGTGTTCGTTAATTCTAAATCATTTTTGTAACATACTTAGACCAGTTACTTCACAAATATCCATTTATCAAAGTGTTCGTTAATTCTAAATCATTTTTATAACATACTTAGATTATTTACTTCACAAATATGCATTTATCAAAGTGTTCGTTAATTCTAAATCATTTTTATAACATACTTAGATCAGTTACTTTACAAATATCCATTTATCAAAGTGTTCGTTAATTTTAACTCATTTTTATAATACATTTAGATTTGTTGCTTCACAAATATCCATTTATCAAAGTGTTCGTTAATTCATTTGTCACGACATACATGGATTAGATACTTAACAAAATTTCATATTATCAAATTGTTCATTCATTGTAAATAATTTTTTATGATATATTGTTGCCAAATGACTAATGTTATAACAGTTCTAATTAACTGTAACTCATTTTCTACGAATTACATAGGTTAACTGTTGCACAACATTGATTTGTTTGCTATTTCTAAACTATAGCGATCACTACTTAAATTCTCAGCAGTTGAAAAATACTTTTGTTTTTTGTTTATAAAACTATGAAAAGTAGTTTTATATTCTATACCAAGATTGTGAGACGTACTTTTGTTTTTGTATGAGAAGTGTGAGAAATAGTTTTACTGCTCTATACTAATAATCATTAGTTTATGGTGCATAACTGGCAGCTGGTTACCAAGTATCATTTCTGCTCAACACTAGTAATCTATAGTTTATGGTACAACTGGCAGCTGGTTACCAAGTATCATTTCTGCTCAACACTGGTAATCAATTGTTTATGGTACAACTGGCAGCTGGTTACCAAGTATCATTTCTGCTCAACACTAGTAATCTATAGTTTATGGTACAACTGGCAGCTGGTTACCAAGTGTCATTTCTGCTCAACACTAGTAATCAATAGTTTATGGTACAACTGACAGCTGGTTACCAAATATCGTGTTTTTAACTTCATGTTTACATTCCTATTTTCCCCTTAATATTATGATCTGTTTCTAGCCTCTTATATTACAATAAGGAAATACAAAGATATTTATCTCTTGTTGAAGTTGATTTTGAACTGAAGAACGCGTTATAAATAAAATAAAGAAACTTATGAAATAAAGGAAAAATATCTGTGAGCGGATCAAACTCACTCTTATGCATAAATAACATGGAGCTTTACACGTGACAATTCTACTTCGGTGGTTGGTAATACCAGTTAACAAGCCAAGCCGCTGGCAACGAGGATACCCAACCGATGATCTGGAGCAGCGTGGTGCGGCTATAGAAGCTTTTTTGAGACTATTTATCATTATTATAGAATTTCAACAGCTCTTCTGGTGGAATTTGTAAATGCATAAGTGACAATATTTACTTTTAAGCCAATGGAGTTTTAACCAGGTAAAACAAGGACAGAAGTGTATCTAGATATTAGTATTATCTTGACATTGAATATGGTAGATAACATTGATACCTCAACTATCCTGGCTTCGATTATTGTGCTTAATATAAATATTTTTTAATTATTAAATCTATTTACCAGTAGATTTGTTGTGTGTAAGTGTAGTTATTTGGTACCACAGCGCTAACATCCGAAGTAACAGTAGTTATTAAATAAAAGAAAACAAATTAACATCCAAGTATTAACCATGTTTCTCGCTATTAGAGAAAACACTGTTTGGACCAATATTCTCTGCGTTACTCACTGAATGTAATTCTGAGTTCGTTGTTCAGTATAACACAAATATAATAACTTAAGCCACATATTATTCTCGTGGTAACAGTATGGAAATTATTCCTTTATATTTTAGAGTACGAACAGTTTACTTAGAACCTAACAAGAAAGAAGCAAAGCTACAAAAGTATTTTTAGTGAAATTCAAAGAGTGATACATCACTAAGTGTTAAACCAATAAACTCTCACTCAAGTATTAACAGGATCGCCTAAACAGACTGATTGTTAAAACTCTCCTCTTTCTCTAGCCAAACATTCCTAAGTTTTACTGTAAAAAAGTTATTCTGAAAACCAGTTTTAAGTTGTAGGTTAAATGAAACAGTTAGCTGAGGATTTTCTAGGTCAATATTTTACTCAAGATAGCCTTAAAATTAACAACAGCATTAAAATGTTTGTTTTTCTTAAATAAGTTTCTTACAGCAGAAGTTGAGTATCCTTGATCATTCAGCTCATAAGTTTGTTAAACAACTACCCCCCCCCCCCGCTAGTGGTGTGATGTACCATATAATTAATTGACATGCTTATCTTCCAATTATAATTTTATGTGTTTACACTGGACATTCTTCTTCTGGAGTAACATATAAATACACGTGTCCTGTTTACTACCCAGAACTAGCGGACAGATATATCTCTTCTTAAACAAATAAAAACCCCAGAAACCTGACTCCACCCCTATCGCTGCTAAACTCATCGTACAAAGTTGTGAACAATGAGCACGTGCCAGTGACTATAAAAATACGTTTGAAACGATAGTACGAAGGTCCAGTACGATTTTATGAAAGTTGGCTTCATTTCCATATTGACCTTTACGTGTACGGTAGAAATAGTTCTGACCCGTATTTCGGGACTTTCATTTTTATACAATTTCAATCTTCAGGATGCTATTAACATTGTTATACACGTGTCGGGCCATAACTAGGCGTTGAGCAAAGGGACACTTTCAGGAATTTCAAAAAATTCAAAATGGTTCTAGACTTTTCCAGAAAGCACATAACAAGAAAGTGAGTTTGATTTATTTTCATTTAAAAATCCGACAAGGGTACCTCTTTCCCATACCCATGGCTGGCCCTGCCCATACCCAATTCCGTAGCGATAGTCCCAGGGTCAAATAATCTAGTGTTCATATATTATCCAATATAAGTACATGTTACATGGGTGAGACTGGTTCGGTTTATTTTTCAATATAACTACATTCGGGCTGATGACCGTCGGACTATAAAGCCATCCACGGAAATAAATGGTCGTCTGAATCGGAAAGAACAATACATTGTCGATCGAGAATGAACAGGGTACCCTGACAAACACGGCTGTTATCGGATTTGTAAGTACATTCAGTTTACATTAATACAGAGTTGATTGTGGTTGAAGGTTAAAATTTGTACCCAGTTTTTTTTGCATTTACACTAATTATCAGGAATCAGTGACAGCACGATACAAACACTAGTTTTTTATCTGTATTGTTAGTAAGTTATATTATAAAAATACATATGAAGCCTAATGTATTGTTTGAGTTATCATTTGTTACTGAGTTATACCGGTTTCGGGGTATTCCACCTCTCAACAGTAGCCACAGGGGAAGGGAGATAAAAAGAAAACAAGACTAAGCTTCGTATAGTGATGGGCGATATTATACGTATGTGTGTGTGTTTTACTCACAACATTGACCCTTTACATAAATATAGGTTGACTGTAACGAGCAAGAGAAAATTAGAACATCATAATCTACATTATACTCCATTCTTCCTTCATGCTAGTTTCATTAACAGTATCGGTTAGAATGTTTAATATGCCTGTTTTAATCATTTCATATTTATTATTATATATTCTGTTATAAGGATTATTTGGTATTGAAATTTAGGACTAAACTAAATCTCAGCTGATCAAACCTCATGAAATGTTATTGGGATTACGACCGAAAATATCGTTAACAATGGAAACCGAACTGATAAATCAATGAATTTTATATGTTTTTATTTTATGACATTGCACAATACTGATTAGTCTGCTACACTAAATTATCTGTATTCATTACTAGTCTAGTTGTTCTTTTTTGATATATGATATAGTTGGCTTGCTTTGATATATGACAATCTATGCATCCCTAAAACCTCGCGTTAAATACCTGTGTTCGTAGAGAAAGAAAATCTTCAAGTGAGAGATCTTCCCAATGTAACATTACACGGAACTTACCTGTAAACCTTTCGACCTGAACATTTGACCTCATGAAATCAATATCTAGTATGTTTGTTTGTTGTTGTTTTTTGAAAATTTCTTCTCAACAAGTCCCTTTACTTGAGCTAGAGTCATTGAGTGTGAAGAACACATAAAACTTGTATATATTACTGTAACGAAAGAGCATTACCTAGTGATCTTCTCTCCTTGCTCCAGGGTATCTGGTATGTCTCTGTTCATTGTCTCAGGTAAAAGGAGTATCAGTAACCCTGCTATTATCGATAGAGCTCCATAGATGGCTAGTGGGACTCCGGTGTGTGTGAATTTACTCTGAAACGATTAATTTAACGAAAACCTTATACACAAGAAACCCTTTATATACATAATGTAATAGATAGAAAAATAAACTTAATAATATGTAAACAGAGAGCGAAAGATAATTCAATTTTTTTTATACTTCCATTAGAATAACCAAACAAGTTTTTACAAGTTTGACATCAAACAAACAGTTGTTACAAGAGAAAAGAACACGTTCGTCCATTACGCTATTATACATAACATTTTTACCCATATATACATCATATATGTAAATAATGTTACATAGTCACACATACTTAAAATGGATGATGTATTAAAACAACAATTTAATTTGTCCATAAACACCGACGCTTGTAAAATGTTCGATGAATAATTTTGGCTACGTTTTTTAAACAAACTGTGTATCTAATACAGTATATAACTTAACATTATATATATATATAAAATAAGAAGAGAGAATAAGCAAAATAAATTATTTTGAATGTGAAATTTTTACAATATGTTTTTTCTGTAATATATCATCGACATTTTTAATGCAGTTTGTTTAATAATTCTAATTCACCACTTCCTATATTCTAACATAAACCTTGAATGCTCTCAGGCAACCTGAATCTAGATAACCTTACATTCATGATTAAAACTTATTGTTTCTTTGTTTGGGTAAGAAACAATACTCAGGGCCTTTTTTTTGTAAACGGAACCACTATATAAACAACACATACTACTACGTTTAGAAACGAAACCACCATGTAAGCAATACTTATTACAACGTTTAGAAACGGAACCATCATGTAAACAATACCTACTACCATTTTAAGAAACGGAACCACCATGTAAACAATACTTACTACCACGCTTAGAAACGAAACCACCATGTAAACAATACTTACTACCATGTTTAGAAGCAGAACCACTATACAAAGAATACTTGCTACCACGTTTAGAAATAGCCACCATATAAACAATACTTACTATTATGTTTAGAAATAGAGTCACCATATAAGCAATACTTACTACCACATTTAGAAACGGAACCACCTATAAACAATACTTACTACCATATTTAGAAATAGTCACCATATAAGCAATACTTACTACCACATTTAGAAACGGAACCACCATATAAATAATACTTACTACCACGTTTAGAAATAGCCACCATATAAACAATACTTACTATTATGTTTAGAAATGGAACCTCCATATAAACAATATTTACTATTATGTTCAGAAATAGTCACCATATAAAGAATACTTATTACTACGTTTAGAAACGGACCCATCACATAAACAATGCTTACTACCACGTTTAGAAATAGCCACCATATAAACAATACTTACTATTATGTTTAGAAATGGAACCACCATATAAATAATACTTACTACCACGTTTAGAAATAGCCACCATATAAACAATACTGACTATTATGTTTAGAAATGGAACCTCCATATAAACAATACTTACTATTATGTTCAGAAATAGTCACCATATAAAGAATACTTATTACCACGTTTAGAAATAGCCACCATATAAACAATACTTACTACCACGCTTAGAAACGGACCCATCATATAAACAATGCTTACTACCACGTTTAGAAATAGCCACCATATAAACAATACTTACTACCACGCTTAGAAACGGACCTATCATATAAACAATGCTTACTACCACGTTTAGAAATGGGACCACTACGTAAACAATACTTATTACTACGTTTAGAAATAGCCACCATATAAACAATACTTACTAGTTCTTTTAGAAATGGAGCCACCATAGATCCTATTCGAGCGAACATTGAACTTGATCCGACTCCTACGTTACGAACAACAGTTGGAAACAATTCAGCAGTGTAGACGTACACTATAGCAAAGGCTGCTGTTACAAAAAACTTCCCACACATAGCGAAGGTGATACGCAGCCACAGTAAGTCTGGGGGAAGAATTACAAAACTGGTTAAATAAAGTAAATCAGAAGTTTAGAATAACATGGAAAACAAAAACGGTAAATGTGATATATCAGTTTTATCATCATAATGATCTTGATGAAAACTGAACATATTGTCTTAATCCAATCAACAGTAATGGTTAAATCATCTTTATTGACCCAATGTAGAGCTATATCGAGGTCAAACAACTTAGCAACTATTGTTTGTTTTCATGCTCTGTTATTATTTTACTATTACCAAGTCGTGAAATGCAAAATATGAGCATAAATAGAAGCTAGAAGTTCATACAAAGTTTGGCTAAGTCGATGGTTGACCTCGGTACAATTGGCGACTGTTCAACGGATTTCTCTTGTAGGAAAAACATGAAGAAAACTGCTTAGTTACATCACTCGTTGAAACTGAAATTAGCTTGTTTACAGTTTACCATTTTTTATTTATTATTCCAGTAAACTCCAAACCTTTTCTCTAATTAATCTAAGTAAGTATATAAACATTAACGTCAGTACATGTATAACAACAATGTTGCCTTCTCGGGGCATATATTAATCTAAGCAAGTACATAAACATTAACGTCAGTACATGTATAACAACAATATTGCCTTCTCGGGGCATACATTAATCTAAGTAAGTACATAAACATTAATGTCAGTACATGTATAACAACAATGTTGCCTTCTCGGGGCGTACATTAATCTAAGTAAGTATATAAACATTAACGTCAGTACATGTATAACAACAATATTGTCTTCTCGGGGCATACATTAATCTAAGTAAGTATATATACATTGACTTCATTACATGTATAACAACAATGTTGCCTTCTCGGGGCATACATTAATCTAAGTAAGTATATATATACATTGACTTCATTACATGTATAACAACAATGTTGCCTTCTCGGGGCATACATGAATCTAAGTAAGTATATATACATTGACCTCATTACATGTATACCAATATTGTTGTCTTCTCGAGGCACTCTAGGTCGTATAGCAGCAATGCTGCCTTCTAGAGGCACACATTGACCTAACTAAGTTGTATAGCAGCAATGTTGCCTTCTCTGAATGTGTATTACCTAAGTAGGTGTTCAGCCACAATGAAGTTTGAAGACAGCTTGAATGGGTAATGAAAAAACTCTATTACAAATCTAATATAATAACAAATGTATAAAGTTTTGACAATGTTTTGTCATCACCAGGTACTAGTAGTCTACATAAACACAGGAATATATATATCTACAGTACGAAACAAAGAAGTCACGTGACTGGAGATTGCTTAACTGCTTAGTAAAGGCATTTTGGCAGCACGATGTGTTGATTTAGAGTACGACTGTTTTGTTATGTATTTTGAGAAATTTTACAGTTGGGCAATCTTTCAGTTAGAGTTAAGTAAAAATCAAAAAGTATTGTGACTTAAGAATGAAAACAGAGTTATATAGATAATAATCTGTGGAAAAAATACAAGTTAAAACATACTTACTGTATATATACAGATAGATAGATATATAAATGTTTGAAAAGATTGTTCTTATTTGATATCGAAAGTTTGAATGCATTAGGTTAACATGAAAAAGAGTCCTTTTCAGGACTATGTATTTGTAAGATAAACTAGTGTATGAATAGTCACATATGTAAACCGTCAAGTCAAACTGTACACGTAGTTAATATGATATATACCAGTATCTTAATCATGAAAAACAGTCCCATTACGGATTATGTAGATTATAAGATAAAATAGAATATGTATAATCATGCATGTAAATTATGAAATACGGTAGACAAATAAATAATATGAAACATAAAATGTTAATTTTGTGTATTAAAACAGTTTGTCCATTAATGTACTGAAATGAACCTATAAATTATAAAGTTGGCTGTAACGATAAGGCACAATAATATCGTGCTAAGGATGAAATATTTACTTATTTTATTATTATTTTGTATAACATGACACAATAACCTTCAACAATGCACCCTGGTAGTTTTTTCGTGAATTACATAATAAATCATATGCCCGCACGTTTGGCTGTACCACTGATGATTCTCCATATAGACGATCTCATCGCCCACCCCGCCCCAGCTTGTGATATACATTGGAACTATCTGCTCTCTAGCGTCATAGGTCACATGTCCTCCCCGCACTCACGAGGAACCCCAACTGAGTGGCAACCTTTCATCTCCCCTGAGGTTCTAACATCATTCTGGGTGCCCTAACTGGTCATGTTTATAAAATACCATACAAACACTACTGTAATAATGACATTTTAGTATTTGTTAGTTAGTTAATGTAATTTATTATCATTAAATCATGTTAAAAATAACTTAGTATCGGCCAGTACAGGAGATGTTGCGTTAAAATGTTATAATTCGTCTTTTTCTTTATAACTGGGAATGACAGTGATCAATATATAGACCAGAGTTGCCACCATTGTAGAGAACCCCACGTAAACTTTTTTAAACATATTTTAGTATACTTATTACTTGGTATTGAAATGGTCAGTATACAGGCCAGGCCACCAGCCATTGGGGAATATAACATGTTTTTTAGTATCCTTACTGCTTGGTATTGGAGTGGTCAGTATCAAGGCCGAAATTCCATCTTTTGTAGGTGACATCACATAAACTTTTGTAAACATGTTTTAGTATACTTACTGCTTGGTATAGGAATGGTTAGTATACAGGCCAGGCCACCGGCCACCATAGTTGATATCATGCACTTTCTTCTTCCAAGATTATTAATGGCAAAAACAGAGATCCCATAGGCTGGAAATTCTACCGCTCCTGAGATGACAAAGTTGATAAATGGACTTCCTCCTAAGTCGTTGGTGCTCAAGGACAATGCATAATATGTGAAAGAAATTACAAACCTAGAATACACGAATTATTTGTACTTTAATAGCCTGGTAAACAAGTGTCATTACATATTGTATCTACTATTCATATAACAAACAGAATAACTGAGTTATTTGACCTTGTAATAATTCAATTTCTACCGACTTATAACTTATCATTCTTATGAATTAATATGTAGGGGCTCCAGCAGATTATAAATTAGCTCACACATATACAGGGTTAAAAACAGCAAAGGACTTTTGGTTTCCTCTTCAGTGTTATTTACAATACTAGTTTTTGTAGAATCAATTTAACCCAATTTCCATGTAAATTATGTACAACAATTCTGAAAATTAAACACAAAAAAGTTGAAAACCATCTCAACGTGGTAGACAACTTTATTACCATTAGATGCATGTTTATAACAACTTTATTATCATTAGATGCATGTTTCTAACAACTTTATTATCATTAGATTCATGTTTATAACAACTTTATTACCATTAGATGCATGTTTATAACAACTTTATTACCATTAGATGCATGTTTATAACAACTTTATTACCATTAGATGCATGTTTATAACAACTTTATTACCATTAGATG